CTTATTTACTTATTTACTTATATCTGTATATCATATATAACTATATCATATTTTTTTTTCGTGTTGTAATAAAAAAAAATTCGTTGTACATTTTCTCCAGCTGAAATTTATTCCAACGAAACCAATCAAAGTGTCAGTAAACTATTTTTGTTGTTGCTACATTCTTTGTTGGTCTTTTGGGTTCGTGATTCTTTTGGATTCCTTTGTGGGAGTATTCATAAGGAATTCCAAGCCGACGTTGGGCATTTTGCATAATTTTGGCAATCTTCTTTCTTCGTAGTCGTCGTCATTTGCGACGTGCGCACCATAGTTCTATTTATGTATGCATATTATAATTTGTTTATATTTCTCTCATTTTTGAAGAAATATCTTTAAAACCAAAAAAAAATATAAACTTTAATAATTTGATAACTAAAATTTTGATAACCGAAAAGCAAATTATTAAATAATGTCAAACAATCTTTATTGCGTTTCATAAATCAAATTGTACACATCCTACACAGATAAGTATGCGTACTTGAACAGTATATTTTAATTAATTTATGCGCATCGCAAATTTTAAAAGCGAGCGAGAGACTATATGATTATCAGTTTGTAACATCCTTGATGAATGCGGCATTTGCATAACGCAATTAAATCACGATATATTGAAGGACAAAATGCAGAAGCGAAAAAAGGAACAAGGAATATTTCGGATTTTAATGGGTGGCATAAAACTCGACTGTTGGGTTGTTGTCGGTGGTGGACGACTTGAAAATGCACGGTAAAGTTGAAAGTTTTCACCTACCTACACCCTTTCGTAGCAGAAAAACCTCCAAAAAATGAAAGGACGGGGAGAAAGTAAATAACAGATGGCGCTGTTTCGATATTGATTTTTTGTGAAGGGTTTGGAAAAAGAACGTCCGCTCGGACTTTTATGTGCGATTGCTAAATACACTTCGGTATTTTTAATTAAAGCGCGTTTGATTGCTTCCCGATGGCGAAGATTTCGTAAACTATTAACGAGGAAAAGTTTTTGTTTTTCTTGGCACAAGATAACAGTAGTTTTTGGAGGTGCATCGTAGCACCGTAGATCACGACAGACTTTTGCAATATTTGTAGCACTTTCGTCCTAGACAGACTGTTTTTTTTAAATTACTAAATTTTCGGAATATTTGGTTTTGATTATAATTATATAATTGTAATAAGTATAGTTTTTTATATATTTTTTCCAAATTTGTGAATAAATATTGCAACTATCAATTATTTGATTTGCCATTATTTGGATATTCAAGACACAAAATATTTTTGTTTTTAAAGACAAAAGTCCAAGCTTTCCAATTTAAATTTTTTCAGCTCTTCGGGACCTTCCGGGAATCGGTGTTCAAAATTTGAAGGGCAAAAATATTAAAAACAAAATTTTGAGATTGCTCGACCGCCTTATAAATCTCATAGATATATTATAGAAACTCCTTATAAATCACATACATCACATAGTTGGTTCAATTCCTAAGAATTATTTTTCATTCATTCAATATCTATGAAACACTTTATTGACATTCTTCTTCTTCTTGCAGTAATAACTCTCCTTCTGGAAACCCCTTCACATTTAGCTGGGTCCTGTCGACCCGTTTGCCAGTCACATATCGGTAGGATCATTTATTATCTACAATAATTAAAATTAAGCAAAGTGGTGAGTGTCAGGTTGAAACCTTAGGTCTGACAGTCCAAAAGGTATTCTTTCTGGCATTCCATCATGGACGCTGTTTTTATGTTCTCAAAGAAGTCAGTGTGTGGTACTTCCATATTGATGGTTTGACCATGAGTATGTCCCTCATTTGCGACCTCGTCTGCCCTCTCATTGCATGCGATGCCCTGATGACTAGGGACCCAACACATTACTACGCGAGACCCGTCCCTTAGCAAATCTTGGCTCAGTCCTCTAATTGTTGTAGCCCAGGGTTTCGATTTAAAAGAAGGCTTGTCGTTGGATATTAATGATATGGCTGACAGGGAATTGGTGTAAATAATAACATTTTTTTTTTGGTTTCAAAGGTGCTCACGATGAATAGGGTCCTGTGTATGGCATATAGTTCCGCCGTGCATATCGAACACTCGTCCGGGAGTTTGCCGCTTTCTGTGATACCCGACCCTGGGAATCTACGGGATCTACCGTAGGAAACCGATCTGGGGCTAGGGCGAATCGAGCCATCTGTGTACTCCCTGAATTGTTCGGCCATCTGACCCACAGGTTGGCTCCTACTAAATGCATCTTTTTCTTCTTAATAAGCTCGACCAAACAATCTACGGCACCTTCAAGGAGGCCAATTTGTTCTAAGACGCTTTGCAAGATGTGAGGTTCAATCATTTCCCTCGCCATGTTTCTAGAAGTGGAGCCACTGAAGTACTCTTGCGGTCGGACAGTATCCGGTGTAAGTTTGTTAAAAAATCCACGCCAATCCATGTCATTGTCCACACGCACACACTTCACCAATCACACGCGGCACCTAGTCTTCATCTTGGTGGGCGTCCTCTTTTTCCTCGGTGACGAGACGTCCTGGCACCTCCGGCGGGCATCCGAGTCGGCATCAGGTCAGCAGGCGGTGGCTGTTCTCCGCGTTGAGTGGTACTTGCGCATGCTAGAGTTTGGTCGCTGCGCCTCATGAAGGTGGCGTGGATGGAGCCGCCCCACTTCAGGCAGGAATGAACGAGACTCCGTTTCTGGACCCCGGTCACTCTTAGGACATTCGCCATGAGTGGATTATTTATAAAAGTACCTATGAAGTAAAAAGATTGTTATATATATTTATAAAATACATAAAATACATTTTGAAGTTGTAAAAACCTGGACATAACAAAACATAAAAACAATTTTTTTAAAGCTTCAAAACAATCCTCGCGAACACACCATCCACACATGAAAAAGTAAACACACAGATTTTTTTTGTTCTTACTGTTATGAAAATTAAATGCTTCACTCACAAATGCGAATGTGAGACAAATTTTTATTCGTTTCCTGAATCTTGAAAAGGAAAGTGCTGAAAAAATATCACACAAATTATAGTGAATCAGTGTTATTTTGTTTGAGAGTACCGGAGAAAAGTAAGTATATTATTTTTTATTAAATTTTAGTTTTATACTCGTAGTTAGCAAAGATAGATAAATTACGCGAATCATGACTTCAGTTATTTGTAGTTAAATATTCAAACATACTTCTCTATATTAAAATTAAAATTTTGTATTATTGCTAAAGTGGAACCAGTGAATTTTTATACATGACAATTTGTTATTATTCTTTGTATAATATTTTATTTTAACATTTTTTGTCATGTTACTTTCAAATTTTCTTAAAGTTCCATCATATAAAAACCTTAAGGCTGTACGCCTATGCCTGCCATAAAATGTAAGACCATACGATTTGACTTTGATTTTTATAATATACAGCTGCTGGACTTATTTAAATAGATTAATTTTGCCCACAGATGACTGATGTCATGTCCGAACCTAAAAAGAAATGTAGACAGTACAGTGTTGATTATTTAAAGCTTGGCTTCATTCCATCATTTTCGGACAAACAATTGCCTATGTGCCTTTTATGCAACAAAGTTTTGTCCAATGACTCTATGAAACCAACTAAGCTGCAGGATCATCTGAAACGATATCACCCTGATAAAACAGATATAGATTTGAAATACTTTCAAACACTCAAAGATAAACTTCAGAAGAGACCCACACTGGACAGAATGTTCGCTTCCACGTCACAAAGAAACGATGATGGTTTGCGGGCGTCTTACAATATGTCGCTACTTATAACAAAATCCGGAAAATCGCATACTATCGGAGAGAAGTTAATTTTGCCAGCCGTTGAAGAGGTTTTAAAAATTGTTTTACACAAACCTGCATCTTATATTATTAAAAGAATTCCCTTAAGCAACAATACTGTTGAAAGACATATTGATGAAATGAGTTCTGATATTGAAAGCTTTTTGTGTAATTATTTGCAAACGACCCATTTCTCTATACAACTGGAAGAGTCAACTTTACCTGGTAATGCAGCATTATTATTGGCATATGTTCATTTTATTATGAATCAAGAAATCCACGAAGAACTGCTCTTCGCAAGAACTTTAACAATCGACACTATAGGTGAATCAATATTTCATGTTTTGAAGGATTACTTCATTGAAATAGCAATCCTTTTATCAAATATAATATCAGTAGCTACAGATGGAGCACCTGCCATGGTTGGACGTTATCGTGGATTTATAAGCTATTTAAAACAAAATGTGTCAGGGGTGTTAGTAATACATTGCGTCATCCATCGACAACATTTAGTTGCTAAAAATTTGAATGTTAGATTGTATTAATCTCTTAAATTAGTCATTGATGCAGTAAACCAAATCCGAAGCAACGCGTTGAATACGCGGTTATTTGCGCAGTTGTGTGAAGAAAATGACGAACACTTTCATCAATTACTCTTTCACACTGAAGTACGCTGGCTGTCGAAAGGATTATGTTTGACAAGATTTTTTGCACTTTTTGAGACTATTTTAGAATTTCTGGATACTAAAGATAAAATTTTAAAAGACTTGTTTACAAAATTTAATATGGTTAATTTGCAGTTACAAGGCGACAGCCTAAATTTGATTAAAACAAATTCCATCTTATCAGCGTTTCTTGCCAAAGTTAAACTAATGAAGCAAAATATAGGACGGGGCGAATTTTCCCAGTTCCTCAATTTGTCACAGACAAACTGCCAGGAAGACAACGTTTCAACCTACGTTCAACACTTAAATGCCCTCTATTCAGATTTTGAAACTAGATTTGAGGACGTTTTGACTATGGTAATACCACCGTGGATAATTAACCGATATGGTGACATAGAAGAAACGAATGTCATAATACAAGAGGAACTGATTGAACTAAGCACAAACGATTATTATTAAAGCATCAGGTTCATCCTTCTCACTAAAAATAGTTTTATGTTTAATTTTGTATCTGTTATATACAATATACGTAATTGTATATAACAGATACAAAATTTTATTTTGAGTAGTTTTAATTTAAATTTATTTAATAAATGTATAAAACTTAACATGTGTTTTTACTCTAAATTTTTAACACTAAACTCCACTACAGTTAGAAATGTACAAAAAATCAATATCAGGTAAGTATATTTCTACGAGATCTAAATCACCGACAAGCTTGAATTAAATAATTTTAAATCATAGACATTACTATGACTATAACAACTTTAATGGAATCTTTAGTGTTATGAGGATGATCATTTCCCTCTCTAATTCGTTAATACACTATATTAACAATAATAATTGTAATAATAACGGTTGGACACAACATAGTAACAAAAAAGGTATCCACAATATTCTCAATCAGCCTTCTAGAATTAATGAAGAAAATAGTACGACATAAAAAATATATTTTTTGGGGATGCTCGTAGTATAATGTTTATTAGTAGATTATGGCTAGTTACAAAACAGTATGATACATAGAATACAAAGGGTTCTTACAGTATAATGTTTCTGAGGCTCGAGAGCCAACACAGAGAATACTCACAAGAAAATACAGAGAACCTTACATGTTATTACAGGGGCCGGGTACAGATATGTTGCAGCTTATATACCCTAACCAGGTAGTACCCTTCCCTTCAGACCTTCCCGGAATACCAGCTGCGGGCTACGGTGCGCCCCACGGGCTTGTAGGTGACGTCATATAAGCGGGCTGGATTGAGCACCACAATTTCAATATACGCTCTATTTTTGATAATTAATTAACAGATTTACTTATATCTTATATCAGATTTACAAATATCGAGGAGATTGAGCTGGATAAAAATGAGCACCCTGAAGAAAATCCATTTTTAATATAGTTTGCCCAAAGTGAGAAATTATCGAGAAGATGAATTACAACATCGTCTTTAATGAGGATGCAATGGAGTCGTTTGATCGCTAATATAGAGATATTTTAAATAAATAAAGTAGACATTAATTAGTTAATATCATTTATTTTTAATATATTTAGATTTTACAAATTATTATATATATATATATCGTGAATTTCTCGACAACCCCTCAAGATAATTAAATCGTGGACAACTGTAATAAAAGCTGAATGTCTTACCTTTCCAACGAGCTAACTGGCATCTTCGTTGCCAGCTACGAGATGTTGAAATTGGAATAATTTTTTTTATCATTGTTTAATAGAAGAAAACGACATCGGTAAACGACATTTGGCAGATATTTGATGCTTCTGCCTATCGTCTCAAATCTATGTATCATTTTGTTACAACTGGCATGTATCACCAGCGTACATGAAGATTTGTTCATTTATGTTTGTTTTATCTATATCGATGGTGTATATGTTGTAGCGATTTGATCCAGTGCTACTCCCTGGGGTATTCCACAACTGCTCGCACTGCTCAGCCTCATCTGGTGGGGTCTATTGGTTATCATCAATTGGTTATATCTATGACTTCACTGAACATGTATTAAATTTTATGAATATTATATAATTTCTTCATTTATTAAATGAAGAATTTAAAATTTCAATTGCTTTATATAATTGCCAATTTTGGTTTGAAGGATTTTGATTAATGAACTGTAAAATCTGTGATCATTTCTATTGCTTCATTTTACGATAAATCTAATCAATAAATGTCAAAACCTAATTCAATTGCATTTTATAAAAGTGATATTTTATCTAGCATTACTGTTATTTACGAAGCGATTTTGTTCGATTGTTGAACATAAAAACTTATTTTTTTTGTCATTCACTTCATATCAATTTTTATTCTTTGTTTCATATGAGAATTTTTTTTGATTAAGTTTTTATAAAATTGATGAATATCTTGTAACTAATTCTTATGAATAAATGATATATTAGATAGACTATTCAATCGATCTTGTGCTATCGCATTTCTAAAAAGTATTTCTATACGTTTTAGAGTGCTAAATCAATGATCTGCAAGCTGTGGTGACAGATGTCTTGTAAAAATTCTTTCAAACATTGTTGTTGAATATTTCGCAAAATGTAGTGCAGTAGAACCTGTATGTATTTTTGTGCGATTTGGAATCCAACGAATTCCAACGGCGTTGGCACTATTGCCAACTATTGCGAATGTTTTCTATCAGTGTGCATATGTACAGCCTGTTCAAACGAGTATGTTATTCGATTTTTAACCAATTCATCACAAGAAGATGCGCGTTTTGGATTAACAGGAGTAGCAGTGAATTATGGAAATTTCTCTATGTGTACAATGAGAAATTAAATGTTTCTAAAATATTTCCATGTGTAATTTAATTATTTATTTTGTTTGGATGCACTTCCTCATGTATTTCGTAAATCTTTGACGTATTTTACAAGTGCGGTCTGCATTGAAAAAGTGTAATGTATTATATAAAGTTATTTGTTATTTGTACGATTTTTCTTATACCTATCTACCGCACAAAAACAGGTTTTACTGTATTTTCATACAAATACTTTATTCTGATATCAATTTGTCTTTACTTGGCATAAATTATATTAATGTTTATGTGTAATGTATATGTGTTTATAGTTGAAATTTATAAATGATTTAAAAATTTCAAAGTTTGCTAAATATTGCACATTTATACTTACAATCTGCAAATGATGATCTGGCAATGATGTAAAGAACTGCGATTGAATCCAGGTCATAACGCTAATGCGTTAAACAATTAAGAAATACTTATAATTTTATTATATCAATTTACTAGTTTACTTATGTAATTATTTTCAATAAATTGGTATTAAAATTGAACTTTTTTGGTTTGCTATTATTCTATTCCTTTTAATATGCGAGAAATGTATTTGAATATGAAATTTCAGCAAAAACCCATATTTCAATAAGCTTCAAATAGTGAAAGTCATTTAAAGTTTAATTAAATTTATTATATTATATTAAATTATAATATATTTATATATAACATCTAATATGAAAGGCAACCCTAGACGTACTCGATACAAAATAATAAGGCAACCATATCTGTTGTGTCTTGACGGAAATCTAAATTGAAAATTCATATTAGAAATATGTTAGAGCTCCAGCAATTCCTGCAACCCGCTGAATTTCACATGAATTTTGTTAATTAATATTTTAATTAGTGAGCTCATATAAATACAACTATTTATTTTTACACTTATAATTACTTGTTTCCACTAGCGTCATCCGGTAGGGCGGGTAAGCCGTTCTACAGGATCAAGTGGAAGGATTTCACCTTCAAACGTGCCAATTGGATAAACAAGGATTGTGATCCTTTCAATTAAAATGTAATCTAATTTTGATTATTATCGATTCGCTTCATTATTGCAATACTGTAGAAATCAATAAATATTTTTGTTTCCGGTTAATCCGGTTTACGGTTCAATAATTTTTATTGCCGAATTATAATTTGCAACCATTTCCGTGCTTTTCGTTACAAAACATTAGAAATATAACCGACGTCTCAAATTCGCCATCCCTTTCCCAAATTTCATTTATTAAGACATGTATTTGTGAAAATACGAGATATAAAAAATCTTGATCGATCTGAAATTTCAATTCGACAGAAACATCGGCCGATTTTAGTAAAACTATTTGTAATAGAATTCTAATTTGTTTTTTTTAACTTTTATTGTTCATTCACAACCTGCCAACATCTCTGGCTATAAGTTGAATGTTTTTGGCCAAGACAGAAAACAAAAAGAAAATAAAAACAGAAAAAACAAAATAAAAACATGAAGCGATTTCCCATCAGAAATCTTGCTATAAACAATTATAAATTTAACTAAAAAGAAATTATTCGATGACAATAACAACCCAAATAAAAATTGATGTTGACGGCACTATAATACTTTAAACCCTGCGAACCCTTGCCATGTTTTTCAGTTTTGGGTAGGACCCCTTTCTTACCTGATATTGATTTTTTTGTAAATTTCTAACTGTAGTAAAGTTTAGTGTTAAAAACTTAAAGTAAAAACACATGTTAAGTTTTATACATTTATTAATTGAATTTAAATTAAAACTACTCAAAATACAATTTTGTATCTGTTATATATAATATACGTAACAAAAAATAAACAAAAAATAAACTAAGCAGTAAGTAAATGTTTTTAGTGAGAAGGATGAACCTAATGCTTTAATAATTTAAATTATCAACATTTGGCGTCAATTTTGTAAGGTTTTCCCAAGGTTTTTATAAGTTCAAAATGTATTGGGACCACAAAGCGAATGCCTTCATTCTACAACTTACACAATTTTATAAACATATATATTTTTTTTAAATAATGTATATGTCTTTTATTATAAGATAGTATAATGTAAGTAAATAGGTACTATAAGTGTATGTTGAGATCCACTATCGTGGACCCCCATTTTCATTTCATGGACCCCCAATTTTTTTTTTCGCTGACGTAGACCCCTTGCAGGTTGTCATAGACCCCTGGGAGTCGATATAGACCACTTTGGGAATCACTGCTCTGGACTATTGAACATGAGACTAAAACTTGAGATTTATGATTTTGATATAAAATTTAAAGTGGGTAGAAATAATACAAACGCGGATGCTCTTAGTCGATTACTGCCTGACACCATACCAATTGTTAACATAATTATTGCTGTGGACAGTTATGAAAATTACTTAAAATTTATAGCGGAAAATATTGTAATAAACGCAAATGTCTCTGAAACCAATACAACAATAAGTGACAAGCTAAATTCACACCAATCTTTTTTAATAACACTTACATCTGATCTTGCAAATTCCAGCGATTTTATTGAAAATATAGAAAATAAATTTAAAGTACTGGAAGAAATTAAAGCTACAAATCTGGGAAATAATAAAATGATTCATAATATTCATCGGAATGGGAACGTAATAATATGTGCCGTTGTTAAGAAAACTCTCGGAAGTAAACTAAAATTATCTGAAAC